TACGCAAATATGCTAAAAAGGACGTACCGAGGACTAGCTTACTCCAAAATACAAGAAGAGCAGTGTGGCTTCTGGCCCGGTCGAAACCCCTCTCACCAGATATTTGCCCTGCGCCAGATTGTTGAGAAATCGTGGGAATTTGCCAATCAGGTGTACATGCGCTTCGTTAACGTACAGAAAACGTATTACCGGCTCCGGAGAAACAGTCTATGGACGTACCTGCGAACATATGTAATCCATGGCTAGTTGCTACGGGCCATCAAATCACTATATGCTCATAGCAGGTGATGCGTCAGAATAAATTATGTTAATTGGAAGCGTTTCCGCCTTGGCACTGGTACTTTCTGTTGCCTCTCCTGTTTGTTTTGCATGGATAGAATGATCAGGCGTAGCCAGGGCGATGAGCGTAGGCGATGTCGAAACGAAAATGGTGTTGTTTGCAGACGACCTTGTCTTGATGACGTCTTCTGAAACTGACCTGCAGCATTCTGTGAAATGGTTCGTAGCCGAATGCGACCTGTCTAAAGTCTAAAAGCCTATTGCTTTCTCGCATCTCTGTTCGTTGCTATCTTCGAATTAGAGTAGCCAGCGGCGTTTTTAGTGAACCCGAATCGTTGGACTAACGCGGAGCTGAGTCTGAGGACTGAGTTCTCGACGCCTAGTCGATCTTCATCTCAGTCATGATTAGTTGTGGACCATTACTGAAAAGCTTTGATCCCGGATAGAAGCGGCTGTAATGGGTTTTCTGGAGCGAATCGCCTATCCTGAAGCGTCTCGACGTAGTCCGGAGTGCAGAACATAATAAGGTCCTTGGTTACAACTGGTGCTTCTTCAGCTTGAGAAGTTAGAGCTGCGATGGTTTGCGCACATGTTGCGAATGTTTCCAGAAAGAAAGACTAAGCAACCGTTTAATTATAGCCGACCAGGAAAACTCCAAAGGGATGGCCAGGATTACCGCTGTGCAAATACATGGAAGACGTCTGCCCTGGACTGTATTTGTTTTCTGCCCGTGAAGTTCAAACTCTGGCATAAGACCGTGAATGTTTGAAGTAATATTTGATGCCTCTGTCTGCGGGACCCGAAAGGAGAAGCGGGCATGGATGATTCAGATTAAATTATGATAATTTTTACTAGGTGTTTGTATTAGGTGTTTTGCCATCTGACCTCAATGGCCGGTCAGTTCGCGACAAAGGTTTCGGACGCCTTTAGATTGAACGATTTGAAACATGTTGTTCCTGTTCCTGTCATAATCGCTTAGGAAGATAGATAAGCATCGCACCGCAAGCTTTAAAAAATCAGGTTTATTAGCTTTTGATGCGACAGATAATGCTGCTGCACCTGTCAGTTATGGGGTCACACGTGTAATCTTGAACTATACCAGTAGCAGAAATGAGATTGAACAGAAGAAAATATTTCTCAAATAGAAATTTTCCATAGGTTGTTAAGAATTACTAAATGCCTTTTCATTTCAATTTTTGCACAGATATTTACGAACTTGTTTCCGGTTGGTTCATGTTTTGCTACACAGAAAGCTTTCTATACTCTTATGGTACAAAACATGTATTTTAATATTTTTTGAAATTCGTAATGAACCTGTTAGTGTACATACCGTATTGTCACTAATGCCGAGAACGTGTCAGTTGAATTTTCCGTTTAGAGTATTCTATCTTGTGAGTGTTTAACATTCTGATGCGCAACTACTTAGGTGGCGATTAATTCTTTTGCTGATATTCAGGCAGTGCAATATATTTTCAATTGTTTAGAAGCCGATTATACCTGAATAATTTTTGCTCTTAAAATTCTAACTCGCTGCTCATGCATATATTTGGGTTAAATATTTAATTAAGCTTTGGTTTCAGTAGTGTTCGTAAACTGTGCGTTAGGCGGTCAAGTTTTCTGACTAACCTTTGTGACTTTCGGTTATCGTACGTTTCTTATAATTACCCGTTCATCGACGGTTCTGGATAATAAGCAGATTTGGTGCCCTGAACCTTGTATCATCAAATTCGTTGCATTTCCCCAGATCGTCCAAGGATCAAAGATGTGAAATCTTGCTCAGTGAATTTCTATTGTTATGCATCGTCAAACTGCTGAGTAATCTGAGAAGCTGGTGACTAAATGAATATGTGAGAACTCTCTACCATTGTACTCCTGCCCTGTATTAGATTGTTCAACCTGAACATGTGCCGGTCGAATGTTAGCAAATTACAGGTTGCAGACGGATTGTGAAATTTAGAAACACAACCGATTTGTATCGAAGGCCAGACCACTGCCTTTTGACTGTCTAATAGTTCCTTGCACTTTGAAAGATAGATTTAGATTTTTTATTATCGCTGGTTTGTTCTAAAAGTTTGTTTCAAGAGTGCATTTAATCCGGATGACTGAAATTTCAAAGATTTTCGATTACATGAAAATTCGCTCCCATCAATCGTCTACAATTTTTTCTGCCTGCCTGATGTAGCTTTAAATAAATATCTTAGTAATGTCTCAGCTTTAACCTGGTGTGTTATATTTCATTGTGCTTTTCAACATTGCCATTTTCCCCTAGTCATAGACAAGAATCACTTCCACAATGGACGAGATCTTCACTTTCGTCGTCGTTAAACTGATGATCGAATACTGGGTGACTTTTCCTTGTTTTCTGCGTTGCATTTTTTGTTATTTCTTTCCTTTCCTTATTTTCTTTATGCTCGGGTGGTTCAGTCGTTAGAGCATCGAACTCTAAACCTGGAGATCACCGATTGGAGATCCACTCCGGTCCTGTCACTCCCTTTGTTTCTTCTTCTGTCATTGATAAATAAATGCGGTTTTCTGGAAAAGAAACAGGCGACTACACGCATTGCATCCCATACAGCGGTATGGAAATGCTATAATGTATCTTTATGCTATAATGGCTGCTCGCTTGAAATTGGAAATCTGCATCCAGTCATAAACTTCTTGAAAAGAATGGCGTCGCTAATTGTCCCTAATCATAAAAGTGTAAGGTAGACTGATATCCGAAACTGATTATGAATACAGTTTTGAAGGTATAAATTAGTACCGAGGGGCTATTATTTTATATCACAGAGAGTGCCAAAAGATCCATGGGCATCTAGGTAACAAATAAAATCAAGCAAGCTATTCAGTTCAAGTAATGCTTTTGGTAGAAAAAGGCGGCGGAATAAAGGATTTTACTCTTGTCGTTTAAATCACTTCATCTATCTATATGGCACTAAGGAACAGAAATTTGCGCTCTAACTTTGTAATATGTTGTTTTCACTTTGTAAAGCTCAAAACCTTCAGACAGCCTCCACAAGATTTTTTTACCACCTGGAAGTTATGGTCTCCAATGGCGCTTGATAAATTGTAGTGGATTTACTTGAACAATAATTTTTTTAATTTTAGTGAAATCAAAAATCTGTAAATTACATACAAGAAAGTTGATCAAGCGGACGATGGGTAAGCCGCGGACAAAAACGCGACCGAAGGTCTCGACAAATGTTAAAAAACTTGGTCACAGTTTGAATCCAAGTAAGAGCGACTGAGTTCTGTTCTGACATTGTTGTCAGGGGGCACTGGTAATGAATGACTGTTCATTTTAGATCGACCCAAAGATGACGTAAGGACAGATCAACGGACGCCGACAACCATCCGGCGTCTGTTGATGTATAAGAACTTCAAGCCGAAGCGAGATCGTCGTGGAAAGATAGTGAAAGCTGCTCCGTTTCAAAAGACTCTTTCTTCGGGCGAGATGTCTCGAGTTGAACCGAATCGCAAATGGTTCGGTGCGTGACACATTTGGTTTTTTTAAAGTGCTAATTTGTATATTTTTAAGTGGTATATTTATTTGCCTACAGGAAACACTCGCGTGATTGGTCAGGCGGCATTGCAGAAGTTCCAGGAGCATCTTGGCATCGCGTTGAAAGATCCGTATCAGGTGATCATGAAGCAGACGAACTTACCAATCACCCTACTGACCGAAAAATGCAAGGTTGTTATAATAGTTTTGAGACCGAATCACGGCACATAATAGTTTATGATTTTCAGAATGTCAGGAATCATATCGTCGACACCGAAAGTTTCGAATACACGTTTGGTCCTAAGGCCCAGAGAAAGAAGCCAAATATAAAGATTCCCGATTTAGAAGTATGTCTTTTTGATGGGCCAATGAAAATTTACGATCAGTTGTGTTCTGTATCCGTTTATTCCAGTAGTTGCAAATGGATATTGGAGTTTGTCAGGTGAATGCAGAAATAAGGGTAAAGTGACGAAGAAACAGTGGAGCAGTTTACTGAAGCTATGTGCTTATGCGCCTCCTTACCTCACGTGCGATCATGATTATTAGATTTTAACGAAACAGGTGTGATCACGCCTACGAGTGGCAGAAACCAGCTTGCTTCCAAGAGTTGCTGGCTGGACGAAGGCTCGCGTCGAAACATTATAGTCTTAACGTTGCT